TCAGAAATTATTCATACTCTTTCTGTACCTATGTGTTATCGAATATCATACAATTTGAATAACAGGTAACTTTCCGTTAAGTATTCTCTGAATATTGAAATGCTTAAGAAAAGGATCTGATCTGTAGAATTCGATCCTTTTAAATAAGTAGGTGTAGGATGGGTTACCCTATCGATAAGATAGAATGATCTACTAACCTGTCGATAAAACTTGGCCAAGTAGAACCATAATTCAACGAGGAATATATCAACAGACAATGTTTTACATTACCAATAGAGAAACTCGTTTTATCGATCGAGTACTCTGTATTACCGATTTTTATGATTAGAATGTACTATCTTACCAACATGACACTCCCTTCTCATATCTTTTTATAAGAGGCATGTCAGGCTGGCCGTGTAAGCGTCAATGCATTTTTAGCATATTTGAACGCAGACACCCCACCCTTCTTTACTTTCTGAAGATTTATGGTTGGATGGGAGCCTGAATAGGTCCTTGATATAAGCCATGCATCACAGACAGACATCGAACGATGACTGAAAACTTGGAATACTATATCCATATACATATATATTCAAATTAAATCTTTAACGTCAAATTTTCTTCCTTGAACGTACCTTTATACGTAAAAAAAGTTTCAAGAACAAAAATAAATTATATCTCAAAGTGATATGCATTGGAAAAAAACCTTGGCTGGGACCAGATCCCCTTAAGTGAATGTATCGAAGGAGGAAATGTAAGACTGGTACATTAAGTGTCAAGTTATACGGTTTCGCACCGTTGTAAATAAAATTCACTCACTGACACCGCGTGAGGATATTTCGTGACGTTAACTTTTCGCGAAATGAGCTACCAAACGAGGGGTGAAAAAGTCGAAGAAAAACGCGAGCATCGAATATTCAAGAAGCGTGAACGCTGATCGATTGGAGGGAAGCAGTCTTCTCTCCGAAGGAGGTCATGAAATCGAGCCAACGAAATTCGTCAAACGACGATGAAACCGATCATCGTGCTCTCGAGATTGCGCAGGCGTCCTGCAAGACCCTTCTGATAGTTGAACGCGTAATCTCCCTACGCAGTTGACGAAGACGAAATTGTGTTTCTCGTCGCGTCTCCCTCATGCACGTGGAATACGTGGCTTGGCCCTTTAGCATCCTTCGAGCAGAATACGATGTTTTGCGTGGTGGGTCTTTAAGTCGCCTCGAGGGACATAGATAAAGTTATCCGTTTTCGTCGTCTGTTCACGCCCTATTTTCTCTTCGATTCCGAGATCTCGCCTCGAGCGGCTAACTTTCCGATTTACAACAATATTTTCCTTAGTGGACCGCACTCCTGTCAATGGAATACCATCCATCTTCGCGAGAAGTTTATCTATCCTAACATTGTCCTCCTTTTCGGGTACTCTTTCCATAGATTCTTCATATTTTTGCTTTTGCGAAAGAAAATCCGTTTTTCGAAAGAGACCCGTTTGGAGAGAGAATTTATTATAAAATTGAAGTCCGTGGAAATCTTGCGAAGTATAAAAGTAGAAGTCAAAGTGCAGTCTTTGTTCGATTAAAATCATCTCACGTTTTCATTTTCTTCTCTAATTTCCGTATATCGTACAAGCTCAAGATTTGCCGTGCTTATTTTAGAGGACGTAGATAATATTAGGGTGAACCAAAAGTTCGTGCGTTTTTCACATTGCTTCAGTGTGAACATTAAAATTACTTTATATGCAAGAGTTATATATAGTTATATATCATTTTGTAGCTGTTGAAAAGCTCTTTCGTATTTAATTATTAGCTATATTAATTTATTGATCATTTAATTTTTTTAAAGCGGCAAAGAAAATATTATATTCGGTAGCTTTAAACTCTTGCTTCCAGTAGTGACGTCAAAGTACTCGAATCTCCAAATTCTCCGTGATTTTAATAAAACGAAAAAGAATTAAACGATCAATGAATTAATGTAGCTAATAATTAAATATGACAGACCTTTTCAAAAGCTACAATATGATGTATAACGCTTGAATATAAAATAATTTTAATGACTTCAAAAAATTGCACAAACTAAAACCACGCGAAGAACCCACGAACTTTTGATTCACCCTAATATATTAAATATATTCATGTTTGAAATATTCAAATACATATATGATATATGTCGTATCTTACAGTTCGGTACTGTACTCGGATTTCCACAAATTAATCTTCTGGGTAACGTTTTCATGTGCTTACGCGAGCTAATTACAACTACCCTCATCGCGATTGCACGTTCAAGATTAGACTAGTCCACCCGTTGCTCGTATCGTTATTTCTGCGTTTCAGATTAAACTTCCCACGTAATGAGCCGAGCCTAATTCACGATGCATCATTGGCCAGTATGTGTAATCAGGATCCCAATGGCTTTCACCGATGTAATTATAATAAACTAATCGTAATACACTGAACTTGTCAATTTGTTTGCAATTAGCTGTGGTTCGGTAAATTTAAGTTTCGATAATAATTCCACTGTGAACTTTTATGGGTGACATTATATTGTTTGCACGATTCACTGGGTCTGTCGTGAATTGATCTTGTAATAATGATGTAATTGTAATCCTTTGTACAAAAATACACTATTAATTGGAGTAGTAAGAAACAATTATCGTTAGTAGGTTAAAAATCGTCTCATCATTGGTAAGCATCACTTTATTTTGCAAAGATAATTAGTTTTCCTTTTTTTATTCTTCGTCAAATGAGTCGAGTCAAGATTTAAAAATTGTATACTTTGTGTTTTTGAATATACATAGGCTTCATGGTATTCAAACGTGAGGATTTCTCCCGAAGATTTACACATTTAAGTATTATCGTAATGCTTCAAGATTTTATGTTTCGTGACTTTTAATATAGATTCATAGTACTCAAACGAGAGGATTTCTCTTGAAGATTAATAAATTAACACTTCGTCTTGATTCTAGAAAAATATTCGACTACCCAATTACATTTGTCAAATACGTGAATCTCCGAAGTGCTCTTACAAATACTCAAGTACAGTCAAGTGTACGAAGAGTTGACTTATGAAACCAAGACAGTTCCTATTAGTTAAGAAGTAATTTCCTCAAGTGTTCACGAACATAGATATTCGCACATAATGGCATTGCCCCTGAAGCTATGGGACCCGCCTTAACCCCCTGGAGTAAATTCTTCGGTTTACATTCACAAACTAAACGATGATACAGCAAGAAGTTAGATATTGACATCCAGGATGATTGTTTGTCCTGGAGGAATAGCTACATCAATGTTGGCGACAATTTAACATTGTTTACATCTACGCACTGATCGTGCCAGTGTTTACAAAGTTTCTGGGATCTGAGAGAGAACACTGTAGTTAGGTTTGCTGTATGTCGAATATCCTCGCGAGCTGTAGGTTCAGGATGCGACGACTAAGGGACGACTGAGGTCGATTTTAATTCAGGATCATGTATTTTACGATATTGATTGCGAATACGATATTGATTATTCCAAAGACGTATGAGTTGAGTAATACGCTTAGGTAGTTTGCGTAGCCTAGAAATTGTGATCTAGGTACCAACGATGACATTATATTCTGTTTGCTCAGTTGTCCCTCGTACTAATTCAACAACGTGAGTTTGTTTATACTCTGTGCACTAGAAGAGTGTTGGAAGGGAAATTTAATTATGTTCTTTATAGTCTTTTCTAGATCATACGTATGTTGTCTTTGTCTCGCAAGTGGAAATATAAGAGAATAGCATGAAAAGTACAAGGTATAGACTTAGGTATATTCTTGACATTTACTCAAAATGTAATATGAAAAATTGAAATATACAATCCTTCATCGAGTCATTGTTATTGCATAGTATTTATAACATAGCAACATTATTTAAAAGTATGCAAGTATTAGATATTATTAGTTGCCAATCACCAGTGATTATCGTGGCAATCAAGATTTGGAACAGCAGCCTTATTAATTGAATGCCAGTTAAATTTCACATTCCTCTTTCTCTAAGTGTCGTAACCAGTACTCTATACAGTACCCGATATTTAAATAATTATTTTACGCTCTTCTTAGTTAGAATTCCTACATCCTCTAGCGCTACAATCTTATTCTAGTCGAATCGGTAAGATTCAGTGCGACACTGGCCCTCTATCCGTATCGCACAAAATAGCATTTCGTACATCAACGGTCGGCAACTTATGACATTCGAGTTAATCGCTAACCAAAGATGCAATAGCAAATACTTCATCGATAGAATAAATAATTGAAAAAGTCAATGCCATTTGTTAGTAAACAAAATTGCGTACATAAATTAATTAATATCTTGGTAAAATATAGAGGTAAAAGGTAAAATATAGAGTTGCAAATCCCTCTAATTTCAAGAATATTTATTACTGGAATCGGGAACTTACGGTAATTCTTAATTCCAATGGTTTGTCGTCGGTAACTTCGAAACGAGCGACTCGGAATCGAGGTTTGATGATGTAAGATGGCACCACTCCGCTTCCTGTGACTTTCACGCGCCAATTCGTTCTCGTTCTGTGGCTCGATACTTCAAAAGACTCCTAAATCGGATTAAAATAAGCACATTTACGAATTGTTTACGAATTATAAGTAGGTAATTATCAATCACAAGAAATTCAACGATTTATAATTATCTTTATAATACGTTATACGATTTTCATTAATTTTTGTTTCATTCTGGTTTATGGAATCACCTACTATTAATAAATATAATATTATACTATTTATAATGTTTCCATAAATAAATAAATACTCTGTTCGAGTACTAATCGATATCATAAACAATACCTCGCTTGAGACGATATGTATCGAACGAATCGATTTAAAATCGCGTCAAAAATTCGAAAACGCGTGCTAACGCTTCGTTAACCTTCTTCTTGTCTCTGGAATCGTGCGAAGCCAAATAAATAAGTAGCATATAAATAAATGAATGTTTGTCAAATTTTGTTGAGTCTGTGAATCGGATTTCTTGATTCGTGGATCGTTCGAACGGTATAAAAATCACAATGCCATGCGAATCTAGAACAAAATCTTTCAAAATTTGTCGCTGCATTTGCAAATGGAGGTGTCAATGTCTAATTCCTCGAGAAAGGAAGCCCAAACCGCCGTTCGGCAGTTCATCGAAACGCGACGACATCATTGGATTGCATCCAAAATTCTATTCGGGCGAAGTCGACTCGCCACCTGTGGGATTGTACGATCCTCGACCCATCGACACAAAAATCACTGCCACCAGGTACAGTTTGAACAAAATTGTCCACGAATTACAAGTGGTTCACTTCCACCAACATTTAATAATTATTTTGATTACATAAAGTCATTCCAAGCACTTCATTCAAGAAACGTTTCGATTTTTTGTACTTTGGTCCTCTTCTAGAAACAACCTAAAAATTTAGTTACGAGGATGCAGAACAATATTTCTATAATGAAAAATATTAAGAAGAGAGGAACTTTTTAAATCGATAATTTTAGCTCAAGCGAGTTAGAATAAAAATGATGACAAAAATCACTGATCCTTAAATTATTATGTAGTGTCTAACTTTTAGATAAATTATATTTATAAGTCTTATTTATAAATCTGAATATTGTTCAGTTTTGTGTTTCTACATCCTGAAAAGAGCCTCCATGAAAAGCTGAAATATTGCTGAAACTAAACAACATAGCCAAGTTTTTCTGTGGAGTTCTGTTTATTTGATACTTTGATTAACAAATTAAAAAGATTCATGTTTCCATTCGATTCTCCACGAGTTAATTTTGCAAGATGACACGCAATAGTTTACAAGACTAACTTTCCGTGAATAATTAGTTGGAAGAAGCAAGTAGAGCTCGAGGAGTTTTCAGCTACGATGGGAGGACGACTTTTAGACAAATATGTGTTGGAGAGGAGTCTGATGAAGACAGGATTAGGACCTGGAACGCACGAAATCTCCCAGTGGCCAGAAATCAGTTTACAGAGGACTTGCAAAACTATTCGAAGGGATATTGGGTTCGGAACAGTTCCCCTTTTCAAACCTGCCCATGTGTGCACTAACCCTGGACCAGGTAGATTGACCTTAAGACTTGGACAATTCGAATAATTTATAGGTATTTGAATGCTATGATGCATTTTGGATTTGAGTGTCGGAATATTATTACGATAGTGTTATTTTATAAAATTCTGCTATTACAATATTATATTAAATATCAGTGCTCAACAAAACAGTGGTTTTCGATCGGTTCTGTTAATAATAAAAATTACGCCTTCATGGTATTCAAACGAATAATCACCCTTGAAGATTAACATATTAATGGTTTATAGTACTCAAATGAGAGGGTTTCACTTAAACATTAATATAGCGGAGTTTCATCTGGATTTCACCAAATTTTATAGTATATTCAATTTATATTTAATTACTTGATCAGTGTAAACAATATTCGAATGCCTAAGTGTTCCAAAATTCTTCGAGTTATATTCAAGTTTGTCATTTAATAATTTCAACGATTCAATTGCAGATTTAATTATGTTTTTGCTTCAGGATACACGCGAAAGAGTCCATATCATTACATGGATGAAAGGAAACGTATTGGCTCTTCGTGTGTTCCCACTTTCGAGTACGACGGTCTGCGGCCTAGGTTTCAGACGATCGCAAAACCCTGGAGTCTGCCTTCCAACTTGTATCTATTTGTATTTCTCGTATGATCCACAAAACATAATTAAGAGTCAAACGCTATGATTAAAAAAAAAAAAAAAAAAAAAAAAGAATCAAGTAATGACTAAAATCTTGTAGATTGAGTATAAGTTAATTCATGGATGTAAACGCAACAAAGAAATAATTACTGTTTATTCGTATTCATCTTTATAATAACGTCTGTTAGCCGTACACCTTTATATCAGTCGCAGAGAATATTATAATGACGAGTGTCAGCAAACATAAACTATTTCTGGGTTACTCGTACGACTATGAATTCATTTACATTGAAGTTATTGTTATACTCGAATTAACTAACTTATCATTAAATCGATGATTCTAATTTCTTATTTCTCTTTATAATCATTGAAAAATAATATGAATTATAGAAAGTTGAAAATAGTAAAATAGAATGTTGAGACTGATGGAATATCGTATTTACGTATGCTTTAATTAAAATTGCTATATTTTTCTAACAGATACGACGTAAAACATCCAGACAGTCTAGAAGCAACTCTGGAGAAATTCACAGGAAAGAGGGGTCCCTACGATTTATTCACAGGTTCTTTTAATTAGAAAACCGATTAAGATCGAAGATTGTAATCAGTTAATAATGATTCCACAACTTTTGGTTGAAATTCCTTCTAGGACCAAGGGACGATAGTACGCTCGTGGGCTATCAGAAACCAGCGAAATCGATAGATTGCGGTGACTGGCCTAAATCGCTGCCAAACGAGTTGTTGCGCAAGTCGAACTATTATAAAGGACGTTGGAGCACCTGTCCAAGGTATTCTCGTTAAACTTGAGTCATTTAGAATATTTGCGATGAAACAAATCATGCTGAGTTCTGTAAGACTAGTCTGACCTTTAAAAACATATAAAGTTTTATGATTTTTTAGCGTGAAAGCTATACTATGTATAATAAATACGTAACGTATAAATTTCAAATTTGAATACATGAATAGATATACTTTGAAGTGCAACTTGTGAAATTTGTTTTGCAAAATATTAATAGTGTTGCTTGAAGGATTCTTATACAAATTCGACCGAGTTTTGCAACTTATACTTAAACTTCTGAATGAATCTATTTACGTTTGAAGCAAATTATAATTATTTGTGGCTTAAATATAGAAAATAACGAAGCCTCCGAATTCTCGTCAGATTTCCAAAGAAGTCAGGCGTGAGATTAATGACGCGAGATCTTGCATTGTGTTACAAGGACCCCACGCATCCAGGACCATTTCACTATAACCCAACGTCGCCTAGAAAACCAGAGAACGCGAAACGGTATCCATTTAATAGTAATATCGAACACGTGAGGCCAGTCCCATCGTCAGAAATTCGTCCAGGTCCGGGTAGATACAGTATTAAGGACATGCATTCCATAAAAGGTCACGGATGGACTTCTGTTTTCAAGAGCAAAACGCCACGAACTGATTTCATAATTATACCCTCGTACAATTATTTCTAGCATGCCTCACTTGGGACATTCGGGCAAATAAAGTTAAAGAAATCTGGTTGAAAAAAGTTTCGTTCTTCTACTTTATAACATAAATATGAATATAGTGTTATGCAAGTTAAAACAGCTGTCCACAGTATTTTCTACAAAGTTGGTACATTATAGTTAATTGGGTTATATGTGTAACGACGCGTTTTTTTGTTTGCTTCTTTTCCTCTGTAAAAATAAAGTAGACTAAAGCTTACTTCTTCCAACTGGTTTTGATTCGGTTGATAAGTGATCGGGAGATTCAAAATGGTTCCAGTTTCGATCGTTTTACCAGGAGGCGCGAAGAATGGTCCAAAAGGATCCAACAGGCTCACATTTACCTTCACGGTCCTAATTGTAATCACAGAAATTATTATTACATTCTAGTAATATTTAACACAAATTGTGTCATTCGAAATAGGACATCTATCATCATTGCTTTCATGCTTGAAAATAAATTAAATTTAAATACATACAACAATTTGTATCGCATATTTAATTCAAGGATTTCTATTATAGGCTGCGTTGACGACAATAATGGTTAAGGAAGAGGTTCTTGTCATAAAAACTTTTTTTTTTTTATTATCCCACTTGGATTTAATCAAAGGTAAAGTCGCAAAAGTTTAAGAAAATCTAGAAGGTTGATTCGAATTCATACATTTTTGAAAAATTGCACATGGTTTCCTAGTTCGTGACGTGACCTGTTTCGAATGGAACACTTTATATATTTCCGACGTTTTTCTAACTTGTTGGAGATATTCTTGACGAGTAAGAATTTCCTTGAAGATGTACCGATCGCTGTAGGTCCAAAAGCTACTTCACGATTCTCGTTCAAGATCACTATGTCCGGCCTCGTGACAGGACAAATTAATTCAGCGAATAAGAGTTCATTTCGCTTGACGCCATCTTTCGTCTCCAAGTCGATCGTACAGGTGACGAAAATTGTGGAAACACGTGGCTCGAAAGTCTCCAGTAAAATGATTTCCTCGGGCAATTTTTCGACATCGGATATCTCCTCTTTTTCGTCAGCTATTTTCGCCTTTCTTCCTTTTCTTGCCTTTCCTTTTCGAAAAATGTAACCGTTGTTAAAAAATCTGATTTCTTGAAGATTTTGTTGATTATTATTTCCCTATTACTTTCTCTAGGTGTAGGTTCTCTGAGATGTAGATATTAATGTCGATAACAATTAGTATCGTTAAAATACTAGCAAGTTCCTAGGGTGCATTGTTTTCAAAATGAAACTTCACTCTTTGTTGAAATAAAGCTTCAACTAAAATTTAACGATGAGATAAAAATTCTCCTTAATTGCCACCTTTTATCATTGATTAATGCAGTTCATGTATATCGATATTTCATATTCGTACTATAAACAGGACTTATTTATACACAACCTAATAAAATCCTGATTTTTTCTTGTGAAGTAATATTGATCTAGACCTCGATTACGGTTAACGTCGAACAGAATTGCAAAATGTCTCTCCTCCACCTTTTCCATGCGATTTATTATCCTTTTCAGACTTCTCCCGCTGTTCTCGTTCCTCGGTGTTCATTTTCGTTTCTCGAGTTTCTTCGGTTTTCAGTAACCTCGGTGTGAAGATGAAGTTGGCCTTGACGAGTTGTTTGCTATGTAGACGACCACTCTGTGGAACAACCTGGACATGATCAGAGGAGCACTTGAATTCGAAACGAGCCGTGAACTCTTTCTCCTGATTCTTCACGATCCCGCAAGTGCAGTGAGGATAGGAAGCCATGTTGAAGCCTCTCAGATGAAGGGAGGCCTGAATTCATTTTCATCGAGTACGATATTTCCATGAATGTTATCAATTTAAATTCTTAAATATTCAATTATTATTTCTCTACTATTTAAATATTCAATTATTATTTCTCTATTATTTAAATACTATAGTCTGCAATCCACTTTGGGGGAGATTCACTGTTCTGCAATTTCGTTTCTATTCAAGTACGAAGTTTGGTTTGTTTACTATGGAAAACGAGCCGCAGGGTGTCGCGGGGAATACAAGGATTTGTTCGCTAAATTCGCAGAATGTGTCCACGATGTATACGAGAATATTGATAACGTTCTTCTCCTTTCTTTTGTCCTTGGAATGACGTCTTCTCATTGGGACATTCTCAAGTTCCTCGGTATCTATCGCGAGGCGTGAGAAAATTGTATTTACAAGTCGCGTGTGGAAAGTTTGGTCTTCAAATTTGGACAGAATGTAATTTATTTATGTATACATAATCAATATTCAGGATAATATAGTCTGTTAACGTAATCATAATTAATATTCATCGATGACGAGTAGTAACGAAGTGACTAATTATTATGATTGATGAATAACAAAACTAATCAGAGAGAACAACTCCTCAGAGAATACAACCTTACGAAAAGAAAATAGAAATAGAACATCATACAAAATTCGTAAAAGAAAGTGTTTAAAAAAATTGAAATAAAAAAGTATGAAGCAACAGACGTAAATAAAAGAAAGGTACTTATAAAACACCATAGGTATTCCAAAAATAATACAACTTTGTTATCTATAACATGATAAACGAACTACTGAAGTCTATTGAAGGTTTTCTCCTTCTATTTGTTGGTTATTACTACATTAATCAAGTTGAAAAGTAATCAAAAGGTGATCAACGACTGCCCAACTTCCTCAGGGATGATTTCTGTACTTCATTGTCACGTACCTGAATCATCCTCAAACGCAGAGGAATTATTGTCTACGTCATCCTTCGAATCTTTAAGATCATTCTCGTCTGGATCACTTGAAACAGTTACTTCAGGTGGCTTCGTTGCTGGAGGAATGCCTCTTCGTTGGATCGTCGATCGCACGTCATACAGATTTCTTAGATTTCTCATCTCCTTATTGTTTCCAGCGAGCTCTGCTAGGGTCACTACACGCACCTGGAATCTGATGAATATCCTCTCATACATTTATCGAAACAGCTAAAAGATAGAAACAACGTTTCGTTAATTCACGAGGAAGAAGAGGACCACTGGAGAGGCCTCAAAACTGTGGATAAAACATTTGGTTTATTTGAATACAGTTGCTTTATCGCAATTCGCTTTGAAACTAACAAAATTATAGTTCGATGTCATCTATTTCATTGATTACTACAGACGGAGACGAAAGATACTATTATTATCGTGAAAATAATATTAAAGTAATAGTTGGATTCATAAAATAATAGTTGGAAATATATCTTCCTTACATATCCATAATAATTGTCACAATAGTGTACACATTATGCTACAGGAATTTTCAAAGCGATCAAAGAAAATTGATTAACCTCCGTTCTTCAGCCAGTCCATTCGATCCAATCTCATTTCCAGGGATGTCAGTTAAGCATCCAGAGTATATGAGATGAAGTTCGATAGTTTCCATGGGTAGAATACTGCCAAAACCGTGATTAGGTTGCACCTCCATGAACGGTGGCAGGTTCAGAAAACCGTATTCTTGTATCAACAAGGAATCATTCGTTAGTTTTAGTTCCGTGTACACGGATTCGTGTGTGTGAACACGACCAAGCTTGATATACCCTGGTTCTGTAAAAAAAAAAAGGTAAACAGTGAGTGAGCCAAATTTTTCTTCGACTGTATTTACATTAAAATTAAGTTTGACCTAGTACCAAACCGCGACAAGTAGTCAAACTTGCAAGAACATTCAAAACTATCGGTGGTGGCTTTTCTGCATCTCGAGACACCGTGTATACGTGAATGGGAAATTTGAGCATACTTGTCGTTGAATCGTAAAATCTGTAAATATATCATGTTACTAAAGTATGGTAAGTTATTTACAGTTTTGTTAAAATGATATTCTTGATATCATTAAAATGTTGGTTGGAGCATATATTAATTAGGTGAAATATTTTAAGCTGATCGCGAGGAAGCGTGCGAGATGAAAAGAGAACCATAAGCACGGGACGAGAGTACATGAAGGAAATTTGTAAACTACCACTGACGTTTTTTTCTTTAAATAGCAATTACAGGTCAATTCTGATTAAAAAGGTAAAATGTAGATAAATACTTTGTCGAATTAGTGAGTGCAATTAAACGTCAATTTATTTTATTTCGTTTTGCAGGAATGAATTCAGAGGAAAACATTATAAAGGAACTTAAAAGAATATATTTTTCAATTCATACGATCAGATTATGCAAAAAGAGCACAAAAGACGTGTAATAATTTCTTTCGAAATTATTTTCCACTTGTAAGTAAATAAAATTAATTATTCAAATTCTTATATTATGCATACTGTCAGAAATCCAGATTTTTTATGAATACATTTTTACATTAAATAAAGTACATTATTACCTTTACTGCCTTCACAAACTGACTCGTAATTTTCAGAATTTCAAGTGCAAGCTTCACTAAGGCATAAGACGATAAGAAACAGGTGATTGGAATAAAGAAATCAGTCGAAATTAAAATTCGTTACTTCAATTAAATCTCAAACAACATCTTTTACCGCTTGGACAGGTGAAGTATGCCGGACTCAGGTACCAGCCTCACGTTAACCATAGAAAATGTTTCAGGTTGGACGATCGTCGATCTTGGATGAACGGTCACTTGATTCCCTAAACGTTTTGGTGTTCTAATGGAAACTTGAACACTGCAACGCCCTACGCATCGTATAAACAGTCAGTACTTCCGATTAACATCGAAATACATTTCAAAACGTACCAGTGTTAACAACATTGAAACTTTGTTGGCAGACGTCAGAATCGATCATCGCGACACCGAGATCAACGCAGGGTGGATCCAAATAGATTTGGGATTCGACAACTCTTGCCCAAACTGGAACCTCCTATTCAGAAGACAATGAAACGTCTTTGTGTCAGGTCTGATAACATTTGTATAAAATACCTGTTTGTCAAATATTTGTTCGTCCTTGTAGAAATAGATCTTGATGACTTCGTGATGCAAACCGATGTGTCGTGGACGAAAGGAGATCCTTAACTGACATTTCACCTTCGGAGGGACTTCTATTTGCAGCATTTTTCTAGGTGTATCGCTGTCCTCGGTGTTGTTATCTGTATGATTTTCAGCATTTTCATTTTCGTCTGAAAGAAA